TCCTGGTTGTTTGCTAGAAGCTGTGTCTTAGCTGCGCATATCCTGGGGCTCCACTTCTCCTCACGTTTGTGACAAGATGCAGCCACAACCAGTTTGACTTTAGCTTTCAACCTGAACTGCAAATACCATGCTGGTTCCAAGATTTCCAGATTCTCGGTGACCTCTAAAATGGCCCAGCTGCCTCCTTGTCTGCCTCGAAAGCCTTGCTCGCAGCAAACACAGTGGTCTTTCTTGAGTCGAGCTCAAATTAAATGACCTCTCTTGGCTCGTGCATTTTTTTGCGCGAACTAGTTCCGAACCCCTCGTTCAGGTTTTGCCGAGAGGAAATCAGCCCGTCTTGACGGCACACCCTTGCTTCGAATGCGTCGAAATATTTTAGTCCCGTTCACAAAGGCCGAAAAACTTCAATAATGATGACGGTCGTAACAGTAGCTAAGTACTGGCAAGATATAGCTGTTACATACCTTCCTCCTGAGGGATAGTGGCAATCTATTTGTCATAATTTGAGAGTGCTTGCCAAATGTGCTCCACCCCATTCTTATTCTTCTAGTCACTTCAATCTCGTGGTTTGGCTCCGCGGTTATTACCTGCCCTAAGTAAACAGTCTTTTACAACTTGAAGTGCACTATTACCTATCTCGTAGCGCTGCTCTTTTCCAAGGTTGTTGTACATTACTTTCGTTATCTGCAGATTAATTTTAAGACCCACCTTTCTGCTCTCCTTGTCTAACTCCGTAATCATGAGCTGCAACTCATCCCCTGAGTTACTCAGCAATGCAATGTCATAGGCGAAGCGCAGGTTCCTAAAGTACTCTCCATTAACTCTTATCCCTAACTGTTCCCATTCTAGGCTTCTGAAAACTTCCTGTAAGCACGCGGTAAATAGCATTGGGGAGATTGTGTCCCCCTGCCTTACACCCTTCTTGATTGCTATTCTGTTGCCTTCTTTATGAAGCACTATGGTAGCAGTTGATCCCCTGTAGATTTCTTCCAAGATGTTTATATATATTTCATCGACGCCCTGATTCCGCAGTGTCTGCATGACGGCTGATATTTCTACTGAATCAAACGCCTTCTCGTAATCCAAGAAGGCTATGTATAGTGGTTGGTTATATTCTGACCATTTCTCTATTACCTGATTGATAGTATGAATAGTGGTCGATTGTTGAGTAGCCTGTTCGAAATCCTGCTTGTTCATTTGATTGATATAACTCTAATGTTTTTTTTTTACTCTGTTAGCAATTACCTTTGTAAATAGCTTGTATACCACAGAGAGCAAGCTGATCGGCCTGTGATTCTTCAAGTCCTTGTCATCTCCTTTCTTATGTATTAAGATGATGTTAGCACTCTTCCAAGACTCTGGTACTCTTCCCGTCAGGAATCATCTCGTAAACAGCGTGGCTAGTTTTTCTATACAATCTGTCCTCCATCTTTCAGCATATCTGATGTTACCTGATCCTAACCAGCAGCTTTGCCTCTTTGCATGCTCTCCAAAGCTTTTCTGACTTCTATCATTACTGGTGGAGTGTCATCTGGGTTACTGCTAGTTCTTATAGTATCAAAGTCGTGGTTATCCCGGCTACTGTACAGATCTCTGTAAAATTCCTCCGCTATTTTGACTATCCTATCCATATTGGTAGTTATTTTGCCTTCTTTGTCCCTTAGTACATACATCCAATTTTTGCTTATCCCAAGTTTCCTCTTCACTGCTTTGATGCTTCCTCTGTTTTTCAGAGCGTGTTCAATTCTCTCCATGTTATACCTTCTCGCATCGCATACCTTACGCCTATTAATCAACTTTGAAAGCTCTGCCAGTTCTATTTTGTCTGTTGTACTTTGGACTTTCATGATTAGACGTTTCTTAATGAGATTCTTCGTTTCCTGGGAAAGCTTGCCAGTGTCCTGTCTAACTACCCTGCCTCCAACTTCCACTGCACACTCCGTAATGATAGTCGTCAGATTATCCTTCATTGTATCTATGCTAAGGTTGGTTTCCTCCCTAAGAGCCGAGTACCTGTTCTCAAGTGAGACTCTGAATTCCTGTACTTTCCCTTTCAGTGCTAGCTCATTGATTGGCTTCTTGCGTATCAGTTTCTGTCGTTTCTTCTTCAAGTCTACGCGATTTCAAGACCGTACCATTCTATGGTCACTGCATCGTACCTTGCCAACAACTTCCACATCCTGCACGATGCCTGGGTGTGCACTCATTATAAGGTCTATTTCTTTCTTATTTTCGCCAATAGGGCTCCTCCATGTCCACTTGCGGTTTCCTCGTTTTCGGTAGAAGGTATTCAAAATTCGTAAATTACTGCGTTCTGCAAATTTTACTAGTAGCTCTCCTCCGGTGTTTCTAGTACCAATGCCATAGTCTCCTACTGCCTGGTCTCCAGCCTGCTTCTTCCCTATTTTTGCATTAATGTCTCCCATCAGTATAGTATACTGTGTTTTTACCTTACTCATTGCTGATTCCACTGCTTCATAGAAGCTTTCAACTGAAGCGTCATCATGGCTGGATGTAGGTGCGTAAGCCTGTACCACCTTCATCTTGTATCTCTTATTCAGTTCAATTACGACACCTACCACCCTTTCATTAATGCTATAGTATTTCTCTATGTTGCCAGCTATGTTTCTGTGAACTAGGAGCCCAACTCCCAGTTCTCTTCTGTCAGCCAAGCCCCTATAGCAAAGAACGTGCCCATTCTGTAGCACCGTATAAGCCTCATCTGTCTTCCTAACCTCACTGAACCTTATTATATCCCATTTAACACCCTCTAGCTCCTCGAATAGTACAGCTAAACTTCCGTCACTAGATAAGGTTCTAGCTTTAAACATTGCCAAGTTCAGGTTCTAATGGCGGCCTGTCCGGATCCAGAGATTCTTAGCGCCCTCTGCTGCGTTGCAGATCTGACCGCCGCCGTGGTCAGTTGCTTCGCAGCTGCTGGGGACTGAGGGCCGTGAGTTATTTGACGTATGCATGTGGGAGGTAGTGGCCAGATACTGCACCAGGGTGGCCAATCCTTCCCTGGTGAAGGAGTGCGTTCCCGGCGGTGGTTACCGGTGAGGCCGCACCCCAGGCCTCTTAATGCAGTTCCATCACCACGCGGATATTTTAGATGCGGAGCATCTTATACTCGCGCCTTGTAGTGCGCCGTCCGCGCCGTCCGCACCGCTTCTCGAACATTCGACAGCTGACGCGCGCGCATGCGCCGTCGCGCCGTCGCCCACTCTTCCACCATCTGTGCATCCCTTCCTCCTCTACACCTTTTTTATGTACACACTCTCAGACTTGAATCACTAATGTCTGTTTTCGCAGTTCTTGGGCAGATATATCTGTCAGACATCTGTGGTTCATAACCACATACTGCAGCCTGTACTATACGATAATGTGCGAGACCTGTCTGGAGAAAAGCGTTTGTCGACGTAGACGAGAAGAATTTCACGTTATTGAAATCGTCAAAGCCTTATCGGCAAACCCTTTTACCCTGACATGCCAATTTTTTTGTTACACCATGTTAAACGTTACATAGATAGATAGATAGATAGATAGATAGATAGGATAGATAGATAGATAGATAGATAGATAGATAGATAGATAGATAGATAGATAGATAGATAGATAGATAGATAGATAGATAGATAGATAGATGATAGATAGATAGATAGATAGATAGATAGATAGGATAGATAGATAGATAGATAGATAGATAGTAGATAGATAGATAGATAGATAGATAGATAGATAGATAGTAGATAGATAGATAGATAGATAGAAGATAGATAGATAGATGGATGGACGGACGGACGGACGGACGGACGGACGGACGGACAGACAGACAGACAGACAGACAGACAGACAGACAGACAGACAGACAGACAGACAGACAGACAGATAGATAGATAGATAGATAGATAGATAGATAGATAGATAGATAGATAGATAGATAGATAGATAGATAGATAGATAGATAGATAGATAGATAGATAGATAGATAGAAATGATGAACGTTAGTTTGGTTCTCTTAGGAATGCTTCACATTTAAAAGTTTCTTGCACATGGGTAGCTGCTGCGGGAACGTTTCGACAAGCTGTCGTGCTTTGAAGGCTGCAACTGGCGACCTCATTGCGAGTGTATGTGTATGTTTCATATCCAACCCAAACAGCCCTTTTTCCCTCTTTCGTTTGTGGGCATTGTGAAGTCATGATGAGCCTCGAGCTCCTTTTCAAACTAGATGGTGACCCGCCACAATGGTCTAAGGGTTATGGTACTCGAGTGCTGGCCTGACAGTCGTCGGATCGAATCCCGGCCACGGCGGCCATATTTTCGGCATAAGCGAACATGCTTGAAGCCCGTGTATTTAGAGCTGGTGCACGTTAAATACCGCCAGGTGGTCGAAATTTAGGGCGTCCCTCATATTATTATATAGATTTAGTTGGGCCTCCACCGCAGCTCTGTAGACGCCGCCAGCCAGACATTTCTAGTGGCGACTAAATCTGTTTATTGGTGTGGGTTTGAGGCGTTAAGTCTTTTAAAATATTAGAAAAAAATCATGTGTTAGTGAAGTAAGGCTCGACCCACAGTGCCATGAAGTTGCTTAGGAAACAAAGCAAGTGGATCGGAAAGCAATGACCGCTTACAAAAAAGATCATGGAATCGTATGCAACTTCCCTAATCATGGCTTTCATGCGACTTTAAAGGTGAAACGTTAACTTGCGAATTTTAATCTGCAGAACCACGTGGGCACTGACAAAGCCGTTCGCTTTGCGCAACATACTCGCAAAAACAAGGCGTAGGTAACTGTGATAAAAAAAACGAGATTATGTATGGTGAAGGCATCTGTCAAAGACAAACATTAATAAAGGTGACGTAGTATTCTTTCATTTGCTTCTTTATCCAAAAAATATTTCCGCTGAATGAGGAACTTTTCTTGGTAGTAACTTTGTGTCATGAAGAGTAGTCTGTCAGTGTTGCCAGTAAAACAAGACACCCACAAATAAGCCACCTTGTCGTCAAAGCATTTTCCTATTTTATTTTCGTTCAGGCTACAGTGCAAACAAACACCGAATAATAATAAGGACACTTTGCGATATCCCGTGAGGTCCAGCACCGCGGTTTATCGCCATCTATTTGTTGTGCGTAAGTAAAGCCCTTAGACACAATGCACAACAGTTTAAAAATGACAGAAAAAGAAACGAAACAATAAAACAGCACGGAAATTACAATTAATTACAGTTATTCTAGTCCTTGTTCAAGCTTTCACTCGTCTCAGAGCTCACTCGTTCACGCACTCGTTCGCACAAGGATGGCACAGCCATACGCTTGTTCTGGACGGCAGTGTCTGGTGGTGGTTTCCGAACATTTCAAATGAGGCGCCCGTCGCTGGGTGATGAACACGACTCGTGTTTAAATCATAGGCAGTGATTGAAACGTGATCACTAGCGGCACGATGTTAAGGTGAGGGGGCACCTGCAGTCAATATTTCCTTTGTACCAAAGCAACAATGAATTCCTCTTTGCTTCGCTAATGACAGTCCGTCTTACAGGAGCGTAAATACTTATGGTAAACACCTGCTTACACATTCTTCTCTTGCTATGTCGTACATACTCCTCAACTAAGCTCTTTGTTTTCTCTGTGCAACAAGTATCAGCACAGATTGGCGGGTCGAGCCACAGTCTCTCGCTCGCGCCGGAAAAAATGTCGTATTCCGGGCTCTGAAGCAGACAATCGCGTCAGTCGATGGATTTGACTTTCATCGACGCGATCGTCCACTCTTACATGGTCATCTTGAAGGAAGCGCCTTGGAGGCACCGAGAACAGTCCGCGCCGAAAGCGCGTCAAGGCGCACTCTCAGTACACTGTGATGAGTAGCCTCGGCTCTCGGGGCTTACACAATGGTGTTGTAGCCGATGGAGTCCATGTATATATTGTTGTCTATCCACTGTAGGTGCCTCGACACACGTGTGTACACGCCGGGGTAGCCGGCCACCCCGCAGCGATAGCCGAAAGACACGATCCCCACCGCCGTCCAGCGTCCTTCGTGGTCCAGCATGAGTGGTCCGCCGGAGTCACCCTGCGAATGTGTCAGAACAGGCACGCTTGGTGAAGCACAGCGGGTGTCGTGTGGATGGTCCGTCAAGGCACTCGAGGAAGCGATGCAGTAAAGGAGCAAGGAAAAGATTTTCTATGTAGAGCCTGACCAAACATATTACTGCCTTGTACAAAAGAAAGTGGAAGAACAGCCGCCGCGACCAGTATATTCGTCGGTGCACTGCTCAGTAAGCTTTTACGCCTCGACTGTGGTGGCATCGTGTGAAGGTACTCGTAAGTAAACGAACAAGTGTAATGAGCGGTCCACACTAACACCTCACACGTAAAATTGAAATTTACGTATATCTCGGATTTTTCTCGCTCTTCTTTTATGCAATCGGTATTGCACTTCAGTAATTCCATTGTATGAATGTTTCCCCAGTAAATTATGTAGCAAGAAAACAGTGAATATAAAAGATAAAGGAAGACAGCAGCGAATCAGATATTGCGATCCGGTTAACTTCGCTTTTTTTATTCTCTCTTGCAATTAAGTTAATATTGCTTTTGTTTTATGCGAATAAAAATATTCCATTTTGCGCAGAGCATCGCAAGCAAGTTCACCCAAGATACACATAATGATTAACTTCGTTTATTCCACGTTTCGGAAGAGGCACCTTTGACTATATTACCGCGAAAGGCAATCGTTCTCCGTGGGCGGCCTCATCATTGAAGTCTCTATCATGATCAACACATGGGGGGTCAGTACAAGTGAATAGCCACATCTGCCTAGAAAGCAAATGTGTTATTGCAATATTACGCGGACTAGTCATTAGATTATGAGAAGGAAGCACTTCCCATGGCGTAAGCCACTACGAAGCACGTGGACGCACCTGCATTGACCAGACGATAAATAATAAGCATTAATGAAAAACTAACAGCAACCGGAGGCACCTTGGTGTGGCCGAGGAGAGTGCTGACCTTACGCGACGTAGTCTGAGAAAATGTAAGAACAGCCCCCAACGCGAAGGGATCAATTTGTGGCCGCGCTCGATAATGAGACGAGCCCCCCCCCCCCCCCCCCTCCCCATTGCGAAACCGGATTGCGGCTAGCTGGCCATGGAACTTTGACCCGACCAGTACGGCGTAGGAGCGTTTTCCAGCTCCCATCGACCCCGTAGCTGCTACTGGAGAGTGCGGCGCCCGAGCTAACAACGATGTGGTGTCATGTCGGCAATTAGTCTTGGCCAAATATTCGACGGCCCCGCTGCGGCTTTCGTGACCGCTGATGCGCCGCCTCTCCGGATGCTCGGAATGGGTGGGCGTGCTCACGCTATAGCGGTTTCGTACGCAGCCGCGACGAGACTAATAGGGGCGCCTAACGATGACCGTTCGCGTGGCCGCGCTTCGGAGGAGTGGGCTCCTCTTTATGAGCATGTAGGCCAAGTGGGTCAGTGAGTCTTTGCTGCCACGCCCGTCACCGTTCGCAGCCGGTGAGCGAGCACCTGCTGCACGCAATTTATCAGGCGGTGCTTTCTCATTTAACGGGTGCTTCGGTGAGTTAATGCCGCGGGTTCCATGGAAGTTCATCTACTTCAGTTTAACTGTAATTCAGGGAAGAGTGGCGGCGGGAACAAAGCTTCCGAGATGGGCGACCAGCACCTAGCACTCTATCGCGTCTGAACTACATGGCCACAAGTTGACAGGGTAATAAATCTACCAGAAGAGCAGGAGAACTTTATTCGACCAGGACAGTAGAGTGCTCGCCCTAAGTTACTCAGGTGCGCTCATATGTATTTCGCATATGTGGAACGATTAGGACACGGGTTATTCACGCGTACGAGTGCTGGTCGAACGAATGAGCCATGCGATTACGAACGAGAGAATGAATAATATTACGAAATAACAATATAACAGGGTTAGTGTAAGGATGATATGTTACATAATTGTTCCAAATAAATAAAAACCGGTGTTTGGGTGGTTATCCTGCATATTGATTAGATGATTGTAGATGAAAAACCTTGAGGAACTGCGCCTACCAAAGTAAAAGTTTAAAAAGAAAAAAAACACAGAAAAGGGACGTTTCGGCTCCCACGTTGAAGCCTTGTTCACAGGGAAATTGCACTGTGAACAAGGATTCCACATGGGAGCTGAAACGTCCTTTTTCTGTGTTTTTTTTTAACTTTTACGTTGGTCGACGCAGTGCCTCCAGGTTATTTACCTTCAACCACGTGTCATCCCGACCAGACGGGCTTCCGTGAAACTTTAAACTTCATTGATTAGATATTCATTGGGTTGTACATTGGACGTATGGTGAACGGCGTGGCTCCCTTGAGGGTTCGTATAAATCAAGCACACGTATTGCTGATGAGCGTGGTAGTCAATACTCAAAAGTGGCCCATCAAGCTTGAACATTAAGAGTATTGTTGATTTCATATCAACCCTCTCACTTCCAACTTTCAGGTCGGCACCACGCCGGTGAGTGCGCATTTCAGCGCTACCAATGAAGCATGACAACAGACAATATTAACTTTTAAACAATTTCAAACATATCACTTATAATTTATTCACTTCTTAGTGCCCAATTTTTAGGATGCTTCGCTGTCGTAACGAGAATATCACAATAAACTGCACGTGCTTCTTCGCTTTAATACTTGGGCTGGTCGGTTTGACAGGAGTGACAAACCAGTGCAAAAGTCACATACAAAACGCAAACTTAAAATACGCAAAGGCACTGTAGGTCAGTACCGGTATATTCTTTCCGTCTACTTTTACTTTATACCATTTGCTGCTTTACCATGCATATATAGTGTTTGGGCATGGTGACCAAGAATTGCGCTTATGTTTTCCCATCGCTACTAACTGAGGCATTGATTTAAATGTACATCTTGATTTCAGTTAGCTAAGGCTTTTTATCACTGTCACTACATCTATTGCTTAAAAGTACCGCGCCACCTAATGCTCATTATATAGTAAGTAAAACTGTCTGCTAAAGTAAGCTATGCAATTTCAATAAGTCATCATCACAATTGCTCAATGAATTTTATCATTAGGCTGTTTTCGTACAATATTTTGCAAAGTATGAGTAAAGCAAGCCGTCGGTGTGCCTTCGTGACAGGAGAGCAGTCGATTTAGGTTGCATTAGGGTATACACTAAGGGCATTTCCCTCAACCGCTTTTTAACGAGAAACGGGGAGTCATTCCTTGACAAGTCAATGCACTCGTCGATGCCTTCTGTATCGCCTGACACGAGTGCAGCAAGAATGGTTGAAGCAATGCCTGTTCAGTCATGACGCGTGTGTATTTCCCTTTCCTCTCTACCTTTCACCTTCACTTTCGACAGCTGTTCCTGGAATGTTCGTTCCCCATGTCTCATTTTGCTTCTTGTGACAATGGCGCGTGAAAATGTAACGAACAAAAGAAATAAGGAGAGGTGAATTTGACGAACAGCCTTGTTTATTATGCCCACTGCCGGTCACGAAACAATATGGCCAGACAAAAGAAGCCAGCCTCTAGTGCCAGGTATCCTGCCCGCCTGCAAGCGAGCTGATTTTGCTCATGGACTGGCACTGCTGGCTGCAGTCTTCGACGGGGGCAGAAGGATGGGGAGGAGCCAATTCAACGATGCCTGTCTGTGATTTCGCACTTACCCTCTTTCATCCTTTCGCCTGACAGCCCGTCATCGTACCCCTTTTCACCCTTTCGCCTGACAGCCCGTCATGGGCAAGCAAGCGCAAATTTCCAGCGTCGTAATGGTCGCTGCCGCGAAAAAAACAGTGTCGTTGCCTCGGCTGACGGATAATTGGAGGGCGGCTTCAGGCCAGCGCCTGGCCACTGCTTTCAGACGAACCGAACCGTCGCGAAACGAGCCGTCTGTACAGTCAGCGCACACGCAGTGGCTGCCACGATGGTCATTCCATCAGCTTCGACAAGCTCATCCGATTTTCAGTTCACGTGCGAAACTCACAAGCATCTCTCGCTCTCTGTCTTTATCTGCTTTTTTAAATACATATTTTCTTGAATTTCTCTTAGATATATGCATACCTTAGGATACTTAGTCACTGAAAATAAAGCTACAACCGAAAGTTCAGTGGAAGAACTCGTTCCGTCTGATTTCGCTACGTTCTTCTGTCCAGTTCTGATGAGAGCCGACGTACTCTAGCACGCCGGTACCTTCAGTGACAGTATCCCACTATACGCCATGGCTGATGCAAAGCATCGTCACTTCCTGCTCAGTGGCGCCCCATGCGATGTAAAAACGATTTGTTCTACATTTAAGCTGCACGTGGCTAGGGGATCTGTCCTGTTGTATGCAAAAACTCTTACCGCACATATGTGTCATACTAATCGCACAAGCTCCCCGCCACCACCACTGGTCTACCAAAAATAAAAACGCGAACACTCGGGTGGCTGATGCCAATTAGGGTCACGCAGGAAACGCCAAGAGCATGCAACAAGCCAGACAAGACGACGCATGTCGCAGCATGAAGGCGCCTGCAGCTCGAATAAAAACTTGAAGGGAGCGTAAGCTAACTTCAAAACGGACTTTCTGGACAGACATTTCAGATTTAGTTGCAGGGTGTGTATGGTCGGATATGGTTGAAAATTGTGTCACCTCTGTGTCATGCGCTTTACCTTTGCAGAGTGTATTGGCTTCTGATTTTTTTTTTTTTGTTCGTAAGAATGTCGGAGAGGAGGTTCCGTCCTTCGTGCGGACGCTTTTTGGGGCGATGACGCGTCAGGGCTCACACTGTGCCAGAAAAAGCAAATTCGTTACGCCTAGAGAAGCTGATACAGTGTGCACTAGTCCAGGAACAAAGGGTGTTGCGTCGAGCTCCGTGCGAGCTGCGACTGCTTCCGCGAACGGACGCCATGAAACGGTACGTGACTTGATAGTTAGCTTGCCCTGATCGAGTGACCGTTGCATAGACCAAAATGACATAAGCAAACGAGTTCCTTCAGCACCCGAAGCCTACGGAAGTCTCCGCGAGATCCAGGTTGGTGCTGAAGCTGCGCGTCTAGTGGTGGATGTCAAAACGGCCTGCT